TTTTTATTTTCAGTTATCATTCAACTTGCATAGTTGACTAAGAACTACCTTAAACGACGAGTAAGTACATTCAAGAAGAATCAATTTAGATGTTGCAGTTTCGTGCACATTCTTGATAAAGATCATTACAATCATTAACGTTTTCGACTTAAACGTTTTCCTCTACATAATTCTCCTAACAAAAACAATTCACGAACACATGTAACGCAGTTATCAAACTCGAACAAGAGAAACTAAAAATAGAATAGTAACAGTATGTTCGAAATTGATCAAACTATCGTCATAAGTAGACCGCGCGTTTACGGTGTCAGTTTAAATAGAACTTGCTTGCATGCTGCTTTCGATATTTCATAGTTTTCACATGCGCATATTTTACACCGCTCTCTGCACGTGCCATCAGTTATTAATAGCCTGCGGATTTTTATGCAAAACAGATCGATTAGTTAATTTAAGAAACTATACATTTAGGTCCTTTCAACTTTTCAACGTAATCACATACATTTTCTTATTGACACTTTGTGCACTTTTTTCCACTATATGTATATACTTCTTATCTTGTTACATACCTAATTTTGCTATAAGTGCATGAAATCTATGGTATAGTTGTTAAAAAATACATGAGATTCGGTTATGATTAACTAACAGAGTTTGAATAGTACGGAGGGTACATCGGCCGTTTAAACCACGAGTAAATACGTTTAGCGATAGGAAGGATCAATATCAAGAGGCTCGTTCGTTGGATCCAACAATAAATCGAAGGGCGTAGTGGTGCGAACGATCGAAAAAGTACCGTGCGTAAAAAAACATACCGTGTGGCACAGGTGTAATATTTTCGGTCACATTGGCACACGTGCAATGCTCTAGTACGCGTCCGTCAACCTATTATCTACCTACCGACGTATTTTGCGAAGCGGGCAGCGTCGATCGAAAAGTCGCTGGTTTGCTTTCGTGACGGACTTGCGCCTAAGAGCTTTCTGTGACCTACATCGACTTCTTAACTTTCGAAACGGTACTTTTTCGTAGCGCGACTGCCGCCTTCGTTTGATCACCTATTACCACATCGGTCGTGGGCTGAACATCCACAAATGCAACGGACAAGGAAGAGGTACACGATCCCATTCCTGATTCACAGCCGCGGCGTAATATTTTGTTATTGTTACTCAACCGTGACCTGAATAAAATGCGGGTCGTTGCAATAAATTAGCTTTCGTTGCACTTCGGCTCGGTTCAATTGAATAACGATATGTATAGGGTAGATGTGGTTATTATTGCGAATGTGCCAGTTATCATATTTATAAAATCATTAAAAACAATTTATTTANTTAAATAAAATACTTTAAACAAAGTTTTAGATTTGAACCAACATAGGGAATACCAACTGCCAGTAAGTCAACCAAGGATCGAAATTATTGGTTCGAAAAATATTTATAAATGGAAAGAAGCCACAATAATTGAACGCTTTTAGATAATTCCGAGTACTACTTTTTAATATCCATGCTGTTAGTAAGTATTTTTCCATAGCGAGTGAAAATCGAAAGAAATAAAACGACCATTCTGTTTTATTTGAACAGAAATGGACGGAGCTGTGTATCTTCCGCGCCATTCGCAGCCATCTTGTTCTCGGGAGCTTCAAAGTCCCTACAATCGTTAGTCACGCAGAAGCGCACACAAACGTGATTATCCCATCACCCACGACGAGCGATACTAAAAGCCGTTCTTCATTTATCATCAAATGACGTACATGCTGTATCATTAAATGAATTTTTTTTAATGCAACCCTTATGGGAACGCGTACCTGCTCGATCGTAGATAGGGATTTTCCCCCTTGCCCTCTCTTTATGCTCGGAAGGTCAGAACTCGAATGAAATATGGAGGGAGACTCTCACTGAAACGGAGCAGTGAAAACGCTTGTAACTTTTCGGTTTCCACCTAGCATTCGAAAACGTGGCATCGTGTTTTCGTTTGCGTCGAAGTCGAAAAGGAATGAGGGACGATCGAGGAGGACAAAGAGAAAGGCACTGAGATTCCCGTGTACACCGTTGTGCGACACGTAGACGAGTGCGCTTCAAGTATACAGACAGACGTCTATAGATGCAATACGGTGCACAACGGTGCATACTGGCTGGCCTTCTGCGCAGCGTAGCGTGTAGCATTGTGCTTCTCATAGGAATAGTTGTAGCGGTTGTGAGCGGCGGCGTTCCGTTCGGATTTCGTCGCTGGTCGCCATTGTTTCTTATGAGTAAGCAAATGAATAAACGAGCAAACAAACTCGTGTAGCTACTAAAATCGACGAATAGCCAGTCGCGTACGTCCGATTCGATCAGTGGATGATGTTCGACGATTCGGGGTAAAAGAAAGGGGAAGGATGGTACACGGTTGACGAGACACCCGAGCTCGTCTCGGTTCGTCGCCTACCCGATTGAAATCGACGAATGGGCGAAAGATTCTCGGGGCCGAGCGACGCGTTTCGCCGAATAATAATGGGTGCTCGATGTTCCTCCGGAATGGTTCTACTGTGTCCACGGTAATCATGGTGACAGTGATGGTGGCAGCAAAAACAGTGGTGTGTTCTCCCGTGCTGAAATTGACGACGAACCCTCCGCCGATGGATAGATTCGCGTTCCTCTGACCGCGGTTTAATTAATCGTGAATAAGAATCAAGAGAATCGTCGTCGTAAAACTGGAAACCTGTAACTGGCGTCCTACCCTAATTATTTCTTTCCTTTACCCTCGTCCCATTGGATAATTGTTTACCCCACGGTCATTAAAACGATTATAATTCTGACTACGGTCTTATATATCCTGACTTCCTCGCTCGGGTCTCTTTGTCCGCAACGAGTGACCGCTGTTCGTTCCGGCAGAACGTTCAGCTTCGATCAGTTGAACATTATGTGATACTTACACAGTGCAACTTCTAATTCGCGATCTCCGACTTCGCGTCTGTGACGCCGGGCAAGCAGGCCAGGTTGGTGTCTCATACATTTTCACGATATTAACAAACCAAACGAACTAAATAGAAATTAATATTGCCATTCGATCGGAGTTCAGTTATTAATAGCTTGAGAAGGTTCGCGTAACCAGCGATAACGATTACGATCACGTAATTTCCTGATGAACGTGATTAAATATTCATTTCGGTTATCGCGACGAAGAATCGTTCGCGTGGACGATTAGGCATCGAGAGATAAGATAAGGGAGGAAAAAAAAAAAGGGAGTAGGGCGTAAGGGCTGCGAGTATCGAGTGGCGAAAGGGAAATTAAGCTGGCAGGTATTTTGACGTTTACCCTTGCTTCGATGCGCAGACCCCACGGCTGTCGGCGCATCGCAGCTCGAACGTACGTCGCCAAGGGAAAGTGTCTATGAATATGTATATATAGGTACACGAGGTTCGCGGTAAAGGAGGAACACGTTGAACGACACCGATCGGGACACGTGTACCTCGCTAAATAATGCATCCACCCCGCGCAGTCACCTCGGTTTTCACGGGGGCGTCAAACCCTTTGCTCACGTACCTTCGTCGCTGTCAATCGTAATGAATATTTTCCTACGACCAGTCGTACGGTGCTCGTATTTCTAGGAATTCGCGATTCACTGAATTCATCCGTCCGTCGAATGTCAATAGTTATGCGATAAGAAATTAGCGATAACGCTGTTATCTGTGCGACGTTCTCAAGTGAAACCGGTGCTAAAAGATCGTATTGCAGGATGCGAGGATCTTTATTCCCATGCCGAGAAAGACACCTTTTGCTCGCAGTGACCATGTTAATACTGTTTCTTTTATCTCTGGGGGATGCTCGCTTGGCAGACGGTAAGTACCAATCGGGTCAAGAATAAAAAACAGGTTTTGCGTTGAAGAATCTGATGATATTTAAAACGCAAATCAAGATTAGCTTGCAATCTGAGCTTGAGAAAAACGGTGATGGATGAAATCTAGCATAACTGAATGAAATTGTCTCAGGTTCTTGCGAGTTCCCTGCTACGTGGACCGGAGAATGGTATCAGTATGGGAAGATAGGCTCGATCATCGTAAACTCGACTGTTTTGGGTGACAAAACCTGCGTGGAGCGGTCCGAGCAATCGTACATCGTTTTGTAAGTATTCAAAAACGATGTGAAAACTAGGAAGAAGAGATACTAATCGTCTGAATTAATACTATTGCAGCGGTGACAATTGTTACAACTGCATAATCGTGAACGATCGGCACGAAAATGTGATCCAATACCGTGAAGGTTCGTTTCAGCTAAAATCGCCTAATTGTTCCTCGTTGTTCTTTTGTATCAATAATGTCTGTTATTTTCCCAGGGTGGTGTTACCAGGAACGTGTCTCGCTGGAGGATATGTGTTCGAACATCAAGTCCGATGATACGTTGTACTCGATGTTCCGTATGAACTCAAAACCGATCCCGTGCCCATTCAGTGGACCGTCGTTTACGTTCACGTACGACAAGGGTTACGGTGAATGCGCGATGCCTATTAGCCTTGGGGAGAAATGTACCGATGAGAGCAAACTGCTTCTTAAGTACCAGGCTTGCCCAGATATCCAACGCAGCGAAAGTAACAGTGAGTTCAGTTGCTATTTTTGTTATCGAGTACGCCTCGAGTCTATTGATTGCGTTAAATATTTTGTTATTACGCTTCAGCGGAGGAGTTACAGTGTCTCGCTGTGTGGAACGATGGTCGGAACAAATACCTTGTTGGAACGTTGAAAGGAAGAAGCGTCTCAGGTGCCGAGAAAATGTATAGGTAAATTGATTAATCGAAAATTCTATTCGGGGATTGAAAAGAACATAACTGATTCAAAGTTGAAATAGTTATGGAGAAGAAATGTTATAATTGTTATTAGTTGTATCGGTTCTCACTCGTAGGTGTATAACTTCGTTTCCGCCATTTTTTTTTTTAAATTCGAGGCTTCATTGTGAAAAGGTGTCCATCGCTGGCCATTACTTTCGCCCATCTTTCGGGCAGCCTATAAATACCGCGTTGAAAATCTGGACATCTTTTGAGGCGATCCACTTTTCGATCCAATTTTTAACTTCTTCATAGAAACGGAAGTGCTGATCAGCCAGGCCGTGTGCCATTGATCGAAACAAATGATAGTCGGAAGGAGTAACGACTGGAGAATACGAGGGGTGGGGTAGAACTTCCCATTTGAGCGTTTCTATACATATAAATATGTTTTGACCTGTTTTGTAATACGTGGCCAAGCGTTGTCATGCTGCAAAATCACTTTATCGTGTCTATCGTTGTATTACGGCCATTTGTCTTTCAATGATCGGCTCAAACGCAACAATTGCTTTCGATACCAATCGCCTGTGTTTGTTTCAGTCAGTTTTAGTAGCTCATAATACACTACGTCGAACTAGTCCCATCAAATATGGAGCATAACCTTAGAGTCGTGAATATTCGGTTTTTCCCGTGATTTTCTGCACTTGGGGTTATCGTAATGAACCCATTTTTCGTCCCCAGTCACAATACGATGCTGAAATCTCTTCCGTCTTTCCCTTGCAAGCAGCTGTTCACAAGCAAACAAACGCCGTTCAACATCTCTCGGCTTCAACTCGTACGACATCTAATTTCCTTGCTTCTGAATCATTCCCATGACTTTGAGGCGTTTTGAAATGGTTTGTTGAGTCACTCCGAATGATTCTGCCAATTCTTCTTGTGTTTGACACGAGTCTTGATCTAGTAATGTCTCTAATTCTGCATCTTCGAAAACCTTCTCTCTTCCACCGCCATGTTGGTCTCCGGCGTTAAAATCACCGTTCTTATAGCGTTGAAATCACTCTCGAGACGTTCTTTCACTGATAATGGCCTCATTATAAGTATTTGAGAGCATTCGATGAGCCTTAGTCACAGATTTCTTTATATTGAAGCAGAAAATTAAATCCTCCCACAAATGACGAAAATTTGGCTCGTAAACTGACATCTTGAATCGAGAATGACTTTATGATGCAGACACAAAGCGGCTAATATTTCGATGGTGCTATGTTCACAAGTGCCTAAACTTATTGTGTGACGTCTATTTAATCAGAATATGCTGATATTTATTAATATAAGCGAAGTATAATATGGACGAAAAATCGTAGTTACAATGTCTGTATTTATAAGCGATTTTCTATTCAAAACAGATTATTTTCATTGAAATAATGACCAGAGTGCGCTAGATTTGACTTTTCTCTTTCTGAAGAGGTATCTGACGTCTGGAAAATATTCTCATATAAAGACGAAAACTGTATTCCCGTAATTTTTGGCTAATTCTGTCGGTAACATTGAGAATCTACCTTATCGCGTAGCTGTTCACCCCCTTAATTACTTTTTTTCATTCATTTCTTATTGTCCCATTCTTTATGCTTAAATTTGTGCTGAAACCGATATATCTAATAACAGTTATGGGATTTTTTCTCGACAACTGTTTCAAAAACCATTATCGCAACTGTTTTCAATTCTTGGTTTCGATTTTTAATTATATCTCCCGATTTTCATTTTTAAACAGATGTTTCCTATACGAGGAGAAAACGCACCATCAAGGAAAAGTAATTTACACCCTCGCCCAGTCCGGCGAGCCAACCTGCAACGGCCTAACTACAGTTTCCGAGGGTTCGCCTACTATAAAACTGACGAAAGGTATTAAAAACGTCGATCTCGCATTACTTCTCTCGTCTCGAACTATACTAATTATGATTCATCTCACGCATAGTCGATAAAGAGCACAATAAATGCAAGTACCCTTCGTGGATCACGGAACACCACGACTGGCACTCTTTGGACGGCACTAAAGTTTATCATTTTACGAATAAAAACGCAACGCTCAAAGTCAGAGTACAAAACTGCGACAGCGACACCTACCACGAGGAGAAGATCGTTTGTCACAACTTGGAGAATCCGACGGAGAACGCGCAAGGGCACAAAGTAAAATTAATCGCGCACGTTACTAGCGGCTGGTGAGTCCCGATAGCAAAACGCATCAAGTATACAGGATGTCCCAGAAAAAGTGTTACAGCCGAAAAGGGGTGAGCCTGGACGTGTTTTTGAACAACAATTTCCTTTGGTAAAATACAAAGTGAGCCATAGTTTTTGAATTATTAACGAAAAACATTGACCAATGAGAGCACGCATAGGGCCTGCGTCCAGCCACGGCTAAGTTGGTTCGGCCGTGGCATAGTCCGAGCCCTACACGCGCTCTTATTGGTCAGTGTTTTTCGTTAATAATTCAAAAACCGTCCGTCACTCTGCATTCTGCCAAAGAAAAGTATTGTTCAGAAACACCTATAGAATCACCTTTCGTCGGCTCTAACACTTTTTCCACCATCTTGTACAAAGGAAGCTGACGGATGTAACAAAAAATGTATAATCTTTTAGCGATATCGGCTACGTTTGCATGATATTCCACAAGAGGGATCATCACATTATAGAACTGCAGCAGTCGGGTAAGTATAATTCATGTTCATAGCTCTTCGATATTCGTTTCTCTATTTATAACTCTTGATGTCCGTCGTAGATCAAAAAGCTATAATGCCAGACGAGGCCTGCTCCCTCGCGGATACATCCTCGATGCCGTACATCACTCTGATAAGTAAGCAACCGTAAGCGCTTGTACTGATAATTTCGTAAGGCCCACGGATTTCAGTTATAATGTGTCTATTTCGTATTAGGTTCCTCGTTACGGCAGAGGAAGTGTCCGAAACCTGGACGTTACGGTATCCTCAGCGTCAGTTCGTTTCCCATACCCGGTACGTCGTATAGACGACAACGACGTAGCGAGAAACATTCTTCTAAGATCACGAAAAGAAGAACTTGGCTCGAAGAAATGCCAGAGGAATCGCACGAGCAACAACAGCAGCAACAGCAGCAGCAACATCATCATCATCATCATCACCATCAACACGGGGAACTTTCGGAACAGCAAGGGGATGACTGTAGAAACACGAGTATACAAATAGGCTGTGCGTCGCCGGATCAAACCGAGATCGTTATTGGGAAAACCTGCGGTGCAGAAGGAATGAGTAAATATCGATTTGCCACTTTCGTATTATACAGAGTATCCCAGAAAAAGTGTTAGAACCTACAAAGAGTGTTTCTGAACAACAATTTCCTTTACCAAAATGCAAAATGAGGCATGGTTTTTGAAGTATTAACGAAAAACACTGACCAATGAGAGCGCGCGTAGGGCCGCGCTGACCAACGGCCGAGTGTCACAGTCCGAGCCGCCATTCCCGTGGCTGAACACGTGTCCTACGCGCGTTCTCATTGGTCAGTGTTTTTCGTTAATAATTCAAAAACTATGGCTCACTTTGCATTTTGCCAAACGAAATTGTTGTTCAGAATCACCCATTTTCGCTTCTAACACTTTTTTTAGTATATCTTGCATTTCTGGTATCGTGCTCGCGAGAGGATACATCGAGTAACGTTATTATTGCAGCGTATTATTGCCACGGCAGCTGGGAGGAAAGAGATACTTGGTACACGATAGTATCTCTGAAGACTAATCAAGCTTCACCGAACTTTGGACAAACTTATTGTTTCTCTATGCGCGTCGGTGTTAATAAAGAGAAACCGCTCGCAAGTGGGAAAGCGAGTCGAGCGAAACTTTCCGAACAGGAATTGTGGTTCACTAAATTGGACCGCGTCTGTCGGAGAGAACAGATCTCGGACGAACAGCCCTACGTCCTCGTGAATCAAGGTACCTCAAAGCTAGATAAACTTTACAAATAGACGCGCTCCACTAAACGCTTAATACATAACACGATGATCTCGCGTTTCAGGAGTTTGCGAAGACGTAACGAAGGCGTACTCGAGTTTAGCGCCGCTTCTTTCCCGATCGCTGATTCCGTTTATCGTGATCCTTGGAAACTGTGCCACCTACTTGCTCTCGTTGAGATGATATGCCAACCGCGAGTGAATGGGAATCGAAACTCGCGTCCGGGTAGACATTTTCACTGGCTACCGACGCGGAACGGGTAAAAATAAAGGCTGGCGAACTTCTTCGATCCCGTATCGGTTTTTACGGATCGAGATAAAAAACGAACGGTTTATCATCGATCGAGTGGAATTGAAGGAGCAAGCAATCTATTGGCCTTGGAGTTTCTCATTGGATTCCGTTACCATTGGGTCACGTCTTTTATATATTTTTTTTGTAAATTCCCCCTCCCCCCCTCTCTCACTAGTTTTGTTTGTACATGAGGAGCCGATAGCACCACTATACATTTGTTTCTGTTGCCACCGAGTTCTTCTACTTCCCAGTATATTATCTATAGATTTTTACCGATTTCGGATAGGTATGAAGGTACTTAGTGTTCTAGATTTTAGATGTTACGCCCGTCCGTTTCATACAATGGTCAAGAGTTTTTGTCCGACGATATCTATTTACATCCTGTAAATCTGTACATTCGCACTTGTATTTTTTATATACACGGGAGGGACGAGTGAGGTATGTGGTTCGCCGCATACACCGAGAAACCGCGCAGGTATTAGTTTCGATTTAAGAGTACAAGAACAACGACACACCTCGATCGTTTTCTACTTTTCTGCTTTTGTTTTTCTTTCTTTTTTTTTTTTTTATTCAAAAAAAAGCGAAACCGAGATTCGTAAAGCACGCAGTATATAATATACGTGTTTATCGGACAACGGGCAACTGTACCCGCAGCTTTTCAGTTTTTCAAATACAATAGAACCTCGATAATCGGAATTGAATGCAGACCGTCTCGGTCCTCTAACGTGGCGACATTACCGAATTGTTAAACAGGGTATCCCAGAAAAAGTATTAGAGTCGAAAAGGGGTGATTCTGAACAACAATTTCCTGTACCAAATGCAAAGTGAGCCATGGTTTTTGAATTATTAAGGAAAAACACTGACCAATGAGAGCACGTGTAGGATCCGCGCTCAGCCACGGGAGTGGCGGCTCGGACTGTGACGCTCGGCCGTTGGTCAACGCGGCCCTACGCGTGCTCTCATTGGTCAGTGGTTTTCGTTAATAATTTAAAAACTATGCCTCACTTTGCATTTTGGCAAAGGAAATAGTTGTTCAGAATCACTTACAGAATCACCCATTTTCGGCTCTAACACTTTTTCTGGGACACTCTGAACAATCGCGACGTTATAAAGCGTAATCGGTGTTCGAATAATCGAGGTTTTACTGTACAAGCAGGGTATAAACAAGCGGAGATGATTGTTCGATTAACCACGAACGAAAACGAGCAAAAGAGAAGATATAATCCTATAGTCGCGAATCTGATTTATTTAACGCGTAACAATTACAATAAGGAAATACTTTTTACCTCTTAATCAACTACAATTTGTATATATATATAATAATTTAAGGACTGTATAAAGACTGTTTTTAAAGGGTAGAGAGTTTTCCATTTATACGGCCGCGTTCGATCGATAGACCGCAGACTTTCGAGTTATATTCTTAATAACACAGTTGGCAAAATAGAACTTAGACGTTTATTTCAGTCTACCGCGTACTAAACGTTATGTACTTTAACTAATGCGAACGTATGAAAATTTGCTCTCTACCGATCGGTCAGCGACGACTCGAAAATGAAAAATAAGGGATCGTTTGGAAATACATAAATATAGTCGGGATGGGTATTAAGTGACGCACTTCAGATTGGAATCACTAATATTGGACTTAATCAAAATTTTAAATATCTCGTTTGTAGATCTGAGTCGCCATATTGAAACACGTGACAATTCTTTAATTTCAGTTATAGGTTTTAATCGTTTGAAAGAATTTTTAGGGTTCTATAAAAAAACTTAATGCTTTTTTGTTCATTTAAAGAATTTTTTACGTAGTTTGTTAATTTTTAAACGTTTCATAGTAAATTAAGGTTGTATGAGTCAGGATCTCTGCTAAAAGTTCAAGATATGTAATAAATAGTTCAATATTTGAGGTAATGAACTTTTAGAAAAAATTATAATTACAGTTTATAAAATTGTTCAATCTGTTT